CGAGCCTCGCCCCGGGCAAGTCTTCTCGTCCCGGAGCCCGCGCTGGCCAGCCCAGCCAGGAGCCTCCGCGCAGCGCCCGGAGACCTCGCGTTCTGCTTCCGCCTGCCGCTGGGGTGGAAAACGCCTCCCGAGCGGCTGCTGAGGCTTCGGGCTGTGTTAAAGGACCAAAGCTGCGAAGAGTTGGGGCAGTCAGCTTTTAATCTGCTTCTTAAACAATCCTTTGGCTTTGTAATGTGCTCGCTGCAGTTTAGAATATTATTATGTTAAAAAAAAAGGTCGCCACAAACTTAATTTAAAAGTGTGCTGTGTAGTGTTCTCACAGAATCACAGAATGGGTAAGGTTGGAAGGGAGCACAGTGGGTCATCTGGTCCCACCTCTCATCCTAGAGCACACAGCTCAGGATTGAGTCTAGATGGTTCTTGAGTCTCTCCAGTGAGGGAGAATCCACGACCTCTCTGGGCAATCTGCTCCAGTGAGGGAGAATCCACCACCTCTGGGCAATCTGCTCCACTGAGGGAGAATCCACCACCTCTGGGCAATCTGCTCCACTGAGGGAGAATCCACCACCTCTGGGCAATCTGCTCCACTGAGGGAGAATCCACCACCTCTGGGCAATCTGCTCCACTGAGGGAGAATCCACCACCTCTGGGCAATCTGCTCCACTGAGGGAGAATCCACCACCTCTGGGCAATCTGCTCCAGTGAGGGAGAATCCACGACCTCTCTGGGCAATCTGCTCCAGTGTGCACTCACCCATACAGTAAAGAAGTTCTTTCTCAAGGTTTATAATGATGATTTTTCTGAAAAATGTAAAAAATAATTATTTTTTTTAATGTCCTTTTACTGAAAAATAAGTTCAGACAGAGCTCAACACAAATACTTTTTAAAGAAATAAACTCTTCAGAGAGTATTACAGGACTCATCCTTTTCCTCCTGATGGACAGGGCAGGGGTTGAAAAGAAAATGCACCATGCGTGCAAAGTGGTCTGTGTGATGGTTAAATATGAGGAAATGGGTAATGAAAGGTTTGATCTGTAATTCTACCCAATGTTATAGTCCAGGAGTTGTATCTGTTTCTGCCAAGCGCAGATAGGGCCCGGTGACATCAGAGTACAAAATGTTCATTTTGTCACTCCTGTAAGACTTAGGAAGAAATACAATAAATTTCAGGTGCTGAGAAAACTTGGAAAAGGAAGCAGCTCCCTCTGCAGCTAATTGGAGAGCAAATATAGCTCAATAAAGGATGAGAACTGTTAATTGCAAAATATTAGCCTGTACATAACAACAGTAACAGATAGAGTAACTTACCTGAAGAGTTTTTGAATTTTGTTACCAGAAAAACACACCAGGAAGGTCAGCCAGCAGCTTCTCTTCTGCTGGCAGTAACGGTGTCTGGTGAAAAGTCTGAGGGTGTGAAACAGGAGCTGAGTTCAGGTACCAAACCTGTTGTGTCATGATGCTGAGACCTGTTTGCATCTCTGAGACTCTGAAGATTTCTTTCTGCATTAGACTATTAAAATCTTTCTCTTTTTTAAGTAAGGAGAGCCACTGCTTTTCTTGTTACAGCTCCTGGTGGAGCTTAGCAGCAGCAAGGAAAAACCTCACATTTGAGCCAACTTACTGCCTGATTTATGTTGAAAAAGAAAGGGGAATGGCAGGAATTCTATATCAAGCATGACAGTCCAGGAGTTAAATTTTAACATTGATCTTTTAACTAATATTTGATAGAGGCTATTAATTGTCAAGAAGTGGGAGCACTTGGATTTTAGTGAACTTACTCATAGGTCTCATGTGTGTACATCTCAAAGTAAGTTTCACTGTGAGCACTACAGTCAAAATAGAATGTGGATTAAATAACCAGATTTATATCATTAGGAAACTCAGGGTTGCTTGTTTTACTGCTGGTGCTGTAATTCTCCTACCACATTCATAACCCAAGGCTGCTAGAAACTGTAGCAAAAGGCAGTGCCTGCTTAAACCTCGATTTAATTACACCAAAAGGATGTACAGAGCATGAGTGAAAAATAATACTGGAACACTTCTCCATACGTGATCCTGTTGCTACTTTTGGCAAGAGAAAAATGTGTGCTGAAACTTGCAGTGAATGTTTATTCTGTAAACTTGTTCCATGTGCAATGTCTTTTGCTGAGTTTGTTCCCTTACTGGTTTTGTTCAGATTTAAAACATCTTCCTGGGCAGTCTGACTATTACAAAGACTGTAGGATAGAAGGTATAACTGTGTGTATAAATGCATTTTTGCACAAATAAATTCACATATTATCATACCGCTAGAATTAAATTACAAGATAGATTTGTGTTAGCAAGCAAAAGCTATACCAAATCAAACTGGGATTTAGGATGTTAAGTTCCTCTTGTTGCTACTCATGGGACACTGTCATGAAGGTTTTCATTGGGGCTATAAAAGGGAATCACTCAGACAACCCCCTAAAATCCTTGTCCCCAGTATCCTAAGTCATCACATTTTATTCTGCCTAAAGGATCAGGAGTGAGTAGAAGGTAGAAGGTCATCCCTCCTTCTGCTATGAGAAATAAAAGATGCATTAGACACACTCAGTCAAGGTTAGCTCTCAGCTTTTAAGGTCAGGAAGCTGAAATGATTTGGAGCTCTTGAACAGATTCTGTCAGCAAAGAAGAATGTTGAGGACTCCTGGAGTATTTAGCAGACATTCATTATTTTGAAGGCTTGCATAAATAAACACAGTATTGCTTTTATAGTAAAATTAATATAACAAAGATCACAAGGTCTGTGTCAAGGCAGTTTGAAATGAAACATACCAGGCCATGGCATGTGTGTAATGTGGTGATCTTACTGGGATCAGGACAGAAGCAGCATAGGTTTGCATAGAGCTTTTTAATATGTTTTGGAAAGGATGGAGTCATTTAAGGATCATGAATATCATTTACACAACTTGTGAGGAAAATGCAAAAGGAAAATATTTTTGGAACCTTTTCCCCCTTTTGGCAAATGTATGGTCACTGATCCCTTGTTTCTCATGGGAAACTTCATACTGATTTATGTCTTGCTAGTACAGTGGGTTGTAATGTTGTTGGAATGAATTCAAAGGGTTAAATTTGTGGCATTTCCAGGTAGTAAGTGGTTTCTGCATGTGATGGAAGAAACACATTTTTAAAGTGCCAAATCACTATATCTGATTAGCTTGATTAAAATAATATATGTCAGGTTGATTGGTTGTTGTGGTTTTTTGACTCTGTGTATGAATAGGATTTTTCTTAATTCCCAAAAAACAGTTGCATATCAGAGGTATTTACTGGCTATATGTATTTTTGTTCTTAATTATCTGGTAGATTATGTGAGGAAATCTTTGTTTTCTTGGCTTATGTATTATTACTTGTGTCCCAAGTGTAGCCATTGCTGTGATCTCTTCTGTTAAAGTTAGCAAAGCCGATTTGGTTGTGGACACTAAACTTAATGGTGTCATAGGGAGTGAGTAGTGTTGATTATGGAATGCGTCATGGTAAAAATTTCTGATGGTGCCCTCAGCTGACTGAATAAAAATGTGGCTGAAATCAGTAGGATGAAGAAGGAAATGACACAGAAATATGTGGTCAGAAAGGATAGATGGTGTAGTAGGTGATACATAAACAGTGACCTGACTGGGTCTCGCATCCTAGGACAGTTGTTACTTGAAGTAAACCCTTAGTGTTCAAGTTTTCATTAATTTGACAAAATAAGAAAAGCTGTTGATACAGTTGTGCAATATGAGATCCTCATCCCCCACCACCACTGTGGTAGGGCAGGAGGAATGCAAGTAACTTGGCAAGTTCTAAATTTGTTTAAAGAGCCACTGACAACAGCCAGAAACTTGTGAAGTTCCTCCTGGGGGAGGGGAGCCTGCTCTGAACTACACTTTCCCAGTGTCTTCTGTAGGCACTACTGTTCATAGGGAACCTTGGGAACAATGCTCCAGTTCAGACAACTCCAGTGTTTTGCCTGGGTTATGTCAGAGACACTCCTGCCTTGGGAACAGCCCAAAGTCAGAGGACTCAAGACTATTGTGTGTTTTTCCTGAGCTCTGAGTTCCTCTTTCACCTCCAAGGAAAGCACTCCTTGAGCTGAGTTTCTTGCAGCAGTTTCCATGAAGCAGATGACTAAAGCCTGTTGAGAACGTAGGTGCCATACAGTGTAGAGTAGCAATTGCAAACCCCATGTCTATTGGTCTATAATGTCAGATAATACTGCAGATAAGTATTAATAATATAGTTTATAAGTCACATCTCTCATAAAGAGAAATCTTTGGAACTACTAGAAGTGTCTTGAAATGCTGGGAAGTTACCATAGTGGAATCACTGTTGCAATACAGGTTGATAATTTTACATTCCTTGTGCCTTTTTGTCAGCATAATCAAATATTTCAGAGCCTCTTTAGGTGTAGTCTTTCTGTTTGAAAGGTAGCCCTCATTTTTACCCTTCCTAATTTTACCCTTCCTGTCTGCAATACTGATCCATATCTCACAAATGTTAGAAACCTTGTTTTCAGCTGAAGACAAGAAGCATTTTTCTTTATTTTAGTTTTTTAGATGTTTATTGGAATATTATTTCACACTGAAAAAATAACCATCAACAGTCTTTAGCCTTCTAACTGGACAGTAAAACTACGGAAAGTGATATAACCCTGGGAAGGATGGTACAAGATGTTGTTTGTCAAATAACACTGGATACCCAATCTCTCTGGCAAACCTACAGCTGTTGCAAATTACATCAAAACAGTGGCATAACTTTTCCATATTACATGTCACACCTACCTGTGTGTCAAAACATAAATAATGTGCAAGACATTTACTTGAAGTTATACATCCATTTTTATATAAACAGATCACATTGCTGCTTGGTCACACAACAAAATCTTGTTAGTTTTTTTAGTCCAACTGATTTTCCATTGTTTTACAGTCATCCAACTCCCTGAAGGCATCTTATGAAGACTGGCTGCTGACATATGGCTTGAGCATCTCTCCCTTTCACATGCGATGGCAAACAGCTCTCTTCAACCGCCAGTTCTACAACTGGGGGAGATGGAAACCCAAATTTCTGTATTTATGGTATAAATTCAGGATTTTTTTTGTTCTGACAAATGCAGGGTCAACAACTGAACCACATCTGTGCCTTTCAGCCTTAAAAGTACAATGGATAGGCATGGTTATTTCACTAGGCTAATGATAAAAACAAGTTAGAGTGGTTGCCATAATTGTACTGGGCCAGCATAAGTCTCTCTCCTCTGCTAACAAATGCATAGTTGTAATACAGGTTGCATATTGACATGCTATAAACCCAGAAATCTGTAAACTATTTTTACCTATGGTTTGAACTATGTAGAGTTCTTAAGGGTACAGCTATTATGTGCAGTACTGCGTACAGAAGTAGGTCTGAAAGCAGTTTCTCATCTCCTACATCTGTCCATCACTGTACACTGAGCTCTCCCTGATCACTAGAGTTTACAAAGTATTCAGAGATAGCTGTGTCCCTGTTGTTAGTTGTGGCCCAAACATTCAGCTACAATACCTGCTCAGAAGCACATTGCTCACCTTCTGTCTTTTATCTGCCCACACCTCTCCCTGCTAAGGTTGCACAGTGTTGAGAATGGGTAGATAAACAGTATGGTGCTCCTGGACTTGTTTAGAAAACTATTGTTCAGTTGCCTTCCTAGCGTTACTTGATATCTGCTCTGAAAATTTATAATGGGTAAGGTTTGAATTTCTTTTCATTTCCTGTATTGCTACCCTAAGTGAGATAGTAATGAGAGGTCTGAGTCTCTCATGTGTAATGATTTGGTAATAATCAGGCGGAAATAGTTCTATATCAATTACAATTTTTAATGTGTATGATTTATTACAGTATAATATTTCCAGTAGTCTCTTTAATTAACATTACAAGTAGATGTTGCTTAAAATAAATCTGCTAATTCCCAGTGAGCCTCATTAGGGATGGTAAGAGAACAGTTATGTTATTGTGAGAGGAAGAAGGACTGGTAGTGAAGTGTTTTAGTTATAAAATAAATGTTATCACTTCCTTCAACTATTGGACAGTGTAAAATAATAACAATAACACCGAATAAAAATTTGCCACTAGGTGGAGTGACATGAATTGAAATTATTTTCAATCCTAATTTTAATGAAAAATAAATTGATGAGAGCAATGTAGTGTAAGTAATTGATGTTAATCTGGTCTTGCAGTTGCACCTTTTAGTTGTTCTTTAAAAAAAGGTTGAGTCACATTTATTGTGCTTTTGCACTTTTTATTGTTTGTGAGAAAGATGCAAAATATATACAATATATAAATACATATGCTACCCCACCATTTGATTCAGGTCTCTAGATATGGGGTGGTGTGGTGCAACTTGGTAAATTATACAGTTAGTTATGTTTATACATTCATAGAGAAAGGCAATTTGCATGTATTGGGTACATGAATAAAATCTAGAATGTGCAAGAACAGAATAAAAGTATTTGAAAATTGGTTAGGATGTGGTTTGGATGTAAAACATTTACTCAACAAAGAAAATGTATGTTATTAGTCAATGTTATTATTGTGTGTTAATATTGTTATTAGTTTTCTTTGACTAATATTTTTGTACTGAACTGTTCATCCATGAGTGGTAGTACCATCAGATAAATTTTGTCTTGTGTTTTGTGTGCAGTTAGGCTATAAAGAGAATACACCTTATCTTCTTGCAGCTGTACATTACTAAGCTATTTTCTTCTCTTTGTAGGTTCAGCATAGGAATGGTGTTTGGCATAGTTGCCATGTTTGGCTCTATTATCCTTCTTGGAAAGACACTGATGCAAACACTGACACAGATGCTCACTGAGGCACCGAAAGCACAGAATGATCGTATGCTGCAGGTGGTGGTAAGTGTTCTCTCCTCTGCTCTTCAGCTGAGACTTGTAAACAGATCTAAAGCAGCTTCTTAATGCAGTGAGTGATGCTTAAATATTCCCGTGCATGAATAACCAAGCTCGTGATGTTCATCTACATAAAAATTTGCTGGTTTGTTATCAGCCTTAAAAATGGGGAGTGGGTGCCGTAATGTAGAGTTTATACTGAAAATTATCAGGAGTAAGAATTAGCTAGTAATTTTGAAAATCTCTAAATTATCATAGTACTAGGACTATAAAACAGAGCTAAGAATTTGCCTCCTGTGAGCTGTGCAGTGTAGAGGCTCTGGTGACCTTAAAGTTTGTAGAGCACATCCATAATTCAACTTGGCTTTAGTCAGTTGCATAAATCTTTAGAGTTTATACTGAAAATTATCAGGAGTAAGAATTAGCTAGTAATTTTGAAAATCTCTAAATTATCATAGTACTAGGACTATAAAACAGAGCTAAGAATTTGCCTCCTGTGAGCTGTGCAGTGTAGAGGCTCTGGTGACCTTAAAGTTTGTAGAGCACATCCATAATTCAACTTGGCTTTAGTCAGTTGCATAAATCTTTTTTGCCTTTAACCTTTGGCTATTGAGAGAGGGAAGAACAGTTCTGCTTATGTTTTATTAAGATTTTTGTACCCTTCCTCTTTTATTCAGTGATATACTTTATTGAAAACACCTATCTATATGTAACTGGGCTGTTTTTCTTCAGCTGCCCCTTCTTGTGTTGATTGCCTGTTGACCAAAGCAGGAAGGAGGCAGATCAGTTACTAGCAAAGAATCCTCTTTTACTGAAGGTATTAGCAGAAACCATAAAATATAAGATGACATGCTTTTTAGTAAAATACTGCTATTGATCTCAGAACACTTCATGAGAGTTAGCTTCCTGTTTAGGTGGATTTTAAAATAGCTTCTTTGAATGAAGTCTGAAAGCATCTGGTGCTGTGTTCTAGCAGGCTGTAGTTGTGGTGGTGTTGAGATGGGAACTCTTGCTATGGCCATCTGTCCTCCCATTGCAGAGGGCCACTGGCAGCACCACTTAACTGATGCATTAGTGCCACCAGCTGATGCTGTAGTACAAGCAATGAGGAATATGCAGGACTCAATGATGGTAGAATCAAACCTGCAGCCTTTTGGTTTCCACAAGGGTGATTTTTAGAGAGTTCTGTAGACAGGCCAGGCATTTTTGCCCATAGCATCTCTTTTGTGACACTGGGTTGCAATTGGAGTTGTGTTCACATCAGCTGTTAGTGACTGTAGTGGAGTGCACCCTGCCTCAAGTGGAAAAAGCTGTGGGGCAGAGAGGAGAACTGTCCCAGAGCAAGCAGCAGAAATGGCCATGTCATCCCACTGCAGCACAGCAGCTGAGTGGGGATGGAACTGAGCAGGTGGAAAGTCCATCAGGACGACAGAGGGGATGGTTCCTCATTCTTTGGCTTTGAAGCCTGTCTGCAAGCAGTTGGTGTCACATGACTAGTGCAGTGAAGGACCTGGTGGGTGGTGAGAATCCACAGAAACAGGAGGAATATGAGGGACCTATATATTGTGTCTTATGTAAATTAAAATAGTATACTGCTTTCAAGTGTGTTTTTTAAAAAATGTTAAATTGCCATATGTAGGCAATCAAAATTTGAATAGATGAAAATGACCTTTTATTTTAGCCCTGTAAATTTGGGATAATCTTGTGATTGGTATAGGGAGAGAGAAAGGGAGACTGTTCAGCTGTAGGCTCATTTCTTGAGCTTTTAGGTCTCATATTGTTTTAAGTGCTGTACAGTTTTTAATATTTTCTTTGGAATGGTGGCTCTTTGTAGGTACTCAGCTGACTGCAGGAAATTGTAAACTAATACTCACATTTGCCAAGCCTATTTCATTTGATTGGAAGTCTGTGTACATCTTTATAAACTTCTCGAGCTTAATATAGAGTGGGACACATTTGGACAGAGCTGTGGGGAATAAGTAGGACATTTAAATTACATTGCATAAGTTGGGAAAAGAGGTAGAAACTGATTGTGCTGCCTGAGAACAGCTCCTGTTCTGTTGTGGGGCTGAAGAAGCTGAGTGAGACAAGCAAGTTTAGGGGCAGAATGATTTGTCTTTGTACCTCTTGGTTTCCTCCTGTGTTTTATTTTGTTGTCATGCCCACGTCAACAGGTGCCTGGTGTCAATTTGCCTGTCAGCCAGCTGACTTATTTCTTCTCTGCAATCCTCATCAGCGGTGTGATACATGAAGTTGGCCATGGGGTGGCAGCTATTCGGTAATAAATATTGCTTTTCTTCTACTCTGTCAGCAAAGCCTAATATTTCAGAGCAGTTACTTACCAGGGAATGTTGGCTTCTATCAAAAAAAGTCTTTTTCTTCTTACCTCTGTACTTTCTACCCAAGTCATAAAATCATGTATCGGCATTACACTGCCTATTACTCTTTGGTACCATGTAGAGATCTGGTGAGTTAACTCCACAGAATTAATGTATGACTTCATTCTGAATAATTTTCTATAATTCTTTGTCTTCTTTTGTTGCTTATACATGGTAGATAAATAATAATGCTATACCCAGTATACTGTCTCAGTAAAGATATGGGGTTAGCTGATCAGTGCCTAGTTTGTCTTGGAGCATGATTTTCATGCCTGTATAAGTCCCTTGTGAAATTTCTAGCTTCAAAAAAACTTCACATGTTCCAAATATTCAACTTAAAAGCAATTGTAAAACCTCTGGAAAGGAAAATTATCTGTAGGATAGTTTCAGCTATTAATATATTTAAATAGCATTTGTCCTTTTAAACTCTTGACTCAGTTTCATTTTTGCAGATGACATTTCCTTCATTTTTGTTAGTTTATAATTTACTTTATATTTCAGTCAGGAGAAACAGAGAAATGATAAATTCCAGAAATCTGTGTTCCTTTAGGAGGAAAGCAATTGTTTCTTGCAGATAATTTTTTATAGATGAGTTTGAAACTGCTTCCTACAGTCTGCCATTTTTATATTTACAAGAAAAAACACCTCAAATGTTAAAATATATCATTACTTGAATATAGGTGATTTTTTAAAGGAGTATTTTATGTGTTACTGTTATCAGGAGACATTTTAGTCATTCTTGTCAAAAATATGTGTGCTGTGTAGAATCTCTGTTTTTCTTTTGTTTGTTTGCAGTAATGCCACTTCATTTTTCTTTTCTTCTTTTTAAGAGAACAAGTACGATTTAATGGATTTGGGATTTTTATCTTCATTGTCTATCCTGGAGCATTTGTTGACCTCTTCACAACCCACTTGCAACTGATATCTCCAGTCCAGCAATTAAGGATATTTTGTGCAGGTAATCACTTGCAACTGATATCTCCAGTCCAGCAGTTAAGGATATTTTGTGCAGGTAGTAGTTTGTGCTTTTTTATTAAACTTTTGCTTAGCACTGTTAGTTGTTCTACAGGCATCTTTTGTGAATCTTTGATGGAGGATTTAAGGTTTAAAATGAAGAAGTGCCAAAACTTCTCTTTAACTAAAGGTCATCCTTCTGTTCTGAACCTGCATTGTCATTTCAGAAAATCATTTGATCATTGCTGTCCATATCATGGTGCTTTCTGCACTAGAGATGTCAGTTTCTAGGAGATTAAATGAGTACCAATTTCCTGTCATAAAAAGCATTATTATATCCTAGATCTGATTCAGAAAAGAATAAGAAATTCCAGTCTATTTGGGGGAAAAAATGTGGTTTCTGACTTTCCTCTCAGTAGAAAAAGCTCTTACACTAACTCAGGTGCAGAAGTTCCATTGTCTTTTTTGTTTGTGGGTTTTTTTGCATGTGGCCTATCATATGGCCTAAGTAGCAAACCCTTGGAGCACACAGGCTGGAAAATACTCAGCCAGAACACTGGTGGTATGAGAACACGACTTGCTGTCACTGGTGAATATCCTTGAGCAATTCACTACCATTTTCTGCAATAGGAGAAATCCATTTTCCAATACTATTATGTGATATTCATTGACCTGTGAGTTATGTTATTATACAGGTGACTGTGTTTTGATGTTGCCATCAGGAGGAAATAAAGGTTAAAACACAAACATACCAGGAGAAGAGGAAATAAAGGTTAAAACACAAACATCCCAGGAGAATCATAGCTTATGGCTCCAAATAACCTCCAGATGTTTTTGATTTGATGTTTTTTGAAGTCTCTGGATACTGGGAAGTAGAGCCCTGTTGCTGTGAAGACTGAAACTGAGACTGTGTTATGTTACCTGAACCACTTGTATGATTTCTAGAGACAAAGGCGATTCCCAAACCACAGAGATAAAAAAGTTATCATCTTGATGTAGGTCTTGATACTGATGATTGTCTATTGCAGGGGACAGTAGGCTAGCAGCCAGCCTGGAGTGATGTTTAGTTACTAACATTATTTCTGGAATATTGTATTTAAAATATCCTGTAGATGGTGGACATACAGTAGCCTTTAGCAAGTATATTTTCAAATTATCATACATCAAGTAAATAATTACAAATTTTAGGCAAGTAAACAAATTTGCATTCCAAATAACCTAATCAATGAAAAATCATTCACTTCATTAGGTTAACTTTCATGAAGCCCTGTTTCTTAAATTCATCCATTTCCAGCTACTGTGAACAAAACTAAAAGAAAAGTCACACTGATTTTCCAAATGGGTTGTTTGCATAGGTTCCTGAGAAATTATCTAGAAAAATAAGATTCTGAGCTGTAATACAAAATAATTGCTTGCATGTTTTTGGTGGCAAGCAAACATCTGTAATGATTTTTCATACTTCTTGGGAAATCTGAACTGGGGGAATACAAGGTAGGAGGAGGCATGTTGCAAGTCTGGTTAGCATGAATGGCTTGTTTTCAGTCAGGTATATCATGGAATCACAGAATCAGTTAGGTTGGAAGGGACCACAGTGGGTCATCTGATCCAACCTCCCTACTCGAGCAGAGCCATCCAAGAGCACATGGCACAGATTTGCGTCCAGATAGTTCTTGAATACTTCCAGAGAAGGAGAATCTACAGCCTCTCTGGGCAATCTGTTCCATTACTCAGTCACTCACACTCAGGGGGAACTCCCTGTGTGTCAGTTTTTGCCTGTTACATCTTGTTTTATTGGTTTCCACCACTCAGAAGAGCCTGGCTTCATCATCTTGGCACCTATTCATGTACTTGAATACATTAATGAGATCCCTCTCAGTTGTTACTTCTTGAGATTGAACAGCCCCAACTCCCTCAGCCTTTCCTCATAAGTGAGGTGCTTCAGACCCTTCAGCATTTTTGTTGCCCTCCACTGGATCCACTCTAGGAGCTCCATGTCCCTTTTGTACTGAGGAGCCCAGAACTGGACACACTACTCCAGGTGTGGCCTCGTGAGGGCTGAGTAGAGAGGCAGGATCACCTCCCTTGACCTGCTGTCAGTACTCTTCTTAATGAATCCCAGGCCTTCTTGGCCCCAGGGCACACTGTTGACTCATGGACAGGTTGTTGTCCATGTGTAACACATACATGCATTTTTATTACAGTTAATGATAGGTATGTTTCAGAACTAGACTGTCTCATAATGATAAAATATGATATTCAGTAAATGACTCATTTGGTTTAATTGTCAGAGCAGTTAAATGAACCTATTCTCAGTGTTCAGAAGACTTGAATTTAGACACATGCTTTCAGATTTTTTTATGACAGCTAAGCATCTGAATTAGAATAGAGGATGCCAAATACACTTTCTGTAGTCCACCTATACTCTGGAGATTAAGGAGTGTATTTGTTGTACAGCAGGTGGCACCATGAGTTCAGGAATAGCAAATGGGCATTCTGTGAGACTTGTGATATTCCTATGCCTGCTAGATGAAAAGTGCTTCTGTGTGGCACTTTCTTGTAATGAATTCAAATATTTGCATTACTTTTTGAGATAATGTTAAACATATTTTGTCTTGCCTTTAACAGGAGTTAGATATTTTGTAAATTTAACTTTTTTAACTAGTTATTAATAATTGATAAAATAATTATTTTAAGATGTTTTAAGGGTTGTGTAAAGTGTACCTTTTTTAATATAAGGCATTAGGTATCCAAGGATGAGGCTGTTTTAGCAAAATGAAATTGGTAGTGTACTCAGCATTGTGCCTGTACATGTATTCTCATTTTGAGCATGTTTCTTTTTTGTGGATCACCTGGGATGAATTTTACACCCTTCTACTTTAGACTTTTCTGCTTTATTCCACACAGCAAACGCTGTCATTATGGTAGTAAGGCCCATGTTTCCCAGATGTTTGAAAGTATTCTTTGTCACCCTCTAGCAGTTCCATCACCTCTTTTTTATTATTTTAAGGCTGTTGTTTTTTCAGTTTTCTCTCTGTAGCAGCCACACTGTTGCAAAGGAATTTCGTTTCCATCTTACTTCAATTCCTGTCCTATTACTGCACTGTAAATATAGAATTGAATCAAACTCCTCTCAAGAAGATGAAGAACTGTAAGAAGGAAATAAGGAGTGTTGAGCATTGAAATGTTTTCCCACATTGTTCATACAAAATGTTTGTCCAAGAACACAAACTAAATGAGAAACTTTGTATAGTACTGAATGTTGAAAGCCATAAAGCTTTGATGATGAAAGCCAAGTGTTTCTTGGGATAGTGGTTCATTTCTTCCTGTGGAGAACAGCATACTGTAAAGATTGCAGCTGAAAATATGTTGCCCAAATAATCTGTCAGGAAATTGCACAACTTGGTTTCTTGACATGGTTGTAGGTCCAGATTTTCTTGTAAAAGAAACCTTTCTTCAAATAATTTTCTAAACTTATTTGGCACATATATATGTAAGTATTTTCATTGATATAATGGATGACAAATACTGAATTCCAACTAAATTTCAGACATCTTGCTGACTAGAACAAAAGGCACTTATTCTAAAATAAGCCCATTTATTAGGATTCTTAAATTCAACAGTTTATTGTGGTGGAAGGTCACAAGTAATACACTTGGTTAATCTTTTTTTAAATATTTGAGACAACTCTGTAAGATAGAAACTGTAGGTTAATAATTGATTCAGAAGCCCAGTTTTTCTTCTGGGTACTCTGCCTACTACATACTTAGAAAAGTAGTGGTATGTGATGACATCTCAATATGGTAGAATAACACCTTAAAAATGGATTTACCACTTCCCTGTCTTTTCTGATAGTATAATTCTCAGGGGCTCAGAGGTATCTCTGAAACTCCCCTACAAAGTGACATCATAGAACCTTAAGTTTGTGAAGTAATAGATGTAAATGTTCACAAATTAACTTTTCATCCACTCTTACAGTAATCATTTCAGGAAAGTTAATTAGAAGGTAGCTGTAGAATAATTTCAAGACCAGCTTTTTATTATTAGTGTTTATTTAGAAACTTAATTTTTTTTTCCCTCTTTTTAGGGGTGTGGCATAATTTTGTTCTTGGTGTTGCAAGTTTCATGGTTTTGTTTCTGCTGCCAGCCATTCTTTTCCCTTTCTATTACACGGGTGTTGGGGCACTTGTCACTGAGGTCACAGAGGTGAGGAAAGATCTTTGCTGTTTTCACATCATATGCTTTGTGACCTAAAATGTACCTGTGTCTCCTGTTACCGCAGTCAGATTAGGTCAGTGCAGCACTCTGCAGAATCTAATAGATTGAGTTTTTTGCTTGAAGTTTTCTTCACAGTCTCATGTATTGTAGTATTAGTAAAAGAAAGGAACATTGTGTGAATAATCATAGACTATTCAGCATACTATACAACTGTTGAGACATTTGAGATGAGTTTACAGACTTATTTCTGGTTTGGTTAGGGTTTTTTAAATTTTTTTTTCAATATCGGTACCAAGCAAATTGCTGGAAATTGCATTAGCACCCTAGTTGCTGCCATCTGTTTTAATGTCAAAGATTATTTTGAGCTGATTTTCTTGCTTGCTTGGTCAACTGGAAGCAAAGTAGAGATAGACTTCTGAGATTCTGGAGAGGACTGATTTTTTCCTGACTTAATCAAATACAGCACAGTTGAACAACAGAGCTGAAAGGATTCAGTCTTTCTTGGATCTAAAAGCAAACTTAAATAACTCAGGAGAGAGTGACATTTATTATGCTTTATACATTTGAAAATTGAAATAATCAGTTCTAGTGGAGTCTGAGATTTTGTTTCTATGGAAATAGTGTCTTAACCTAAAGATATAACTACTCAGTAGAACTGTAAACAAATCCTTGTAATTTGAACTATAACAATCTGACTGACTTCACTGTTGTTCTCAGGATTCTCCTGCCAATGGACCAAGAGGTCTTTTTGTGGGAGATCTTGTCACTAACCTACAAGACTGCCCAGTTTATAATGTGGAAGATTGGAATTCCTGTCTGGGAGACATTTCAGAGAAGTCACAGGTCGGCTACTGTGTAAGTGCAGCCACCCTACAGCAATTAAGCTTTCCAGCTAGAGGTATGATTTCAGGTGCTCTCTTAATTATTTTATATTTTAAGTAATTTATATTTTAATTTGATCATGTCTTAAAGAGTGTTTTGGATTTAGGATTAGTTGTTGGGGTCAGATTTCTTATAAGTCAAGTCTGCTATCCTGTCTTAAGCAGTTAGCAATATGCTATGCTGTTTTGTGAAATCTGAAAGTGAGGAAGAGGGAGATAGAAGACAGAAGAATTTCTTTTGTCTTTCAGTCATCCTGTACAAATAACCTACATAATCTGAATAATGAAATTTGCTTGTTCAGGATATTGCAGAACTTGGTTATTAGCAGTAATACAATTATCCCCTCTATTTTAAGTTCCGTTAAATGGATCAACTCAGTGATCTTTTGCAGATGTAAATTCCACACATTACCTTACCACTTTGATCAGCATGACACTGCAAATTGTATGGCTTAACCCAATGATGTGCTTTGTTATGGCCACTTCTTCTGGTGTGTCTCCTATACGGGTTTTATGTCATTGCCCATAAACTCAGTTTTGTCTGGATTTCACATATTGCTTCTGGAAGTCAGTCTATTTCCTTCTGTTTCCATTTATACATTAGAGTGCTGGTTGCTGTAAGGGCTTACCCCTGAGAAACAAAGAAAAATATGTGAACTGAACTAAACTAGAGCAATAAACAAAAATTAAGTAGAACAAAAAAGAACAGTCAAGTTAAACTGGCTGAATGTCTTGTGACATGCCCTAAAGCTCTCTAGAGTTTCTTTCATGCAAGCAGCCATGGAAACTGAATTCCAAAGGTAAGGGGCTGCTGCTGAGCAAAACCTATACTATGCTATTCAGACCTTGAAAATGATCGCTGCATTTTTCCATCATACTGGAAATAAACAGGAGGTCAGGCAACTCAACCACCCATGTTTTTTATGCACTATAGTACTTTTGTGAGATTGAAAAGGTAATTTTTATTTTTTTTTAGTATGTAAGGAAACTAATCTTACAGCTGGAACTAAGATAAATATTTAAACTGGAAACTAGTGGAGTATGAGCAAGAACCTGCTTTTAGAGACCTGACAGTTTGGATTATGCCTCTGAAGAGGAGGGCAACTTTGGCACATACTTTCAGCTGGGCAGGAATGGCAAGAAGCAATTCTTACATGCTGTAGGTATATATATGCTCAGATTTGCTGTTCTCTGAAATGCAATTTCAGAGTCATGGGTAATAAAACTGCATATTCTGCAGTTGAACCAGTCCTATTTGGATGGAAATGCTAGAGACTTAATTCTGGAGACTCATTATTGCTTCCAAGCTTGGTAGCTGTATTGTGTTAGCAGCCCATTGTCCCCACTGCTGCTTTCTAATCAGACCAGTCTGTCTGCATTTTCAGAGTCATAAGCCTCCAGCAGTGAGAAATATTCCTCTGAAATTAAATGAACTCTGTTTGGTCTCTAGCAGCTGTCATTTGTCAAAATCTTGACAGTTCACAACTTGACATAAATACAGAGTATCAATAAAAAATGTTTCTAGCAAATGGACCCTATCTACTTGACCATAAAACAAATGGGGAGTAAACTATTTGAGTATGAAACTAGACAGAAAACAATGCCCCAAGGACCTTCTTGAAATTAAAAAAAAGAGAAGTGTTTTCAGTGTAGTTTATAAAGAAACTAATATCACGGTCATTCACTATTCAAAACTATATGTGATTTCTTAGCCTCAGGGTTTTTGAAAAAAGGATTTTATGGTACAGTGGTTGCACCTGTAAGCCCCAGGCATAGAGCTGCATGTTAGTGGACTGCAGGTTATGCAGTGATAAGTCAGCAACCAGTATCACAGGCTTGATCTGCCTAGGGAAGGTAATGCAGTGTTGCTGTGATACAGATTCTTACAGTGACCATTATTTTGTGTGGGTTTTTTAAGCTGTTGTTGCCCAGTAAGTTAGGCTTAGTTCATTTAAAGAGCATCTGTACAAAGGTTCTGTACCAGACTAGTTAAGTCATGTTTTAAAACATCATTTGTTCACTGCTGCAACTGCTAAGGCTTGAAAAGCTTTCAGAATCTGAATCTTGGAAAGCCTTTCATGTTTTAAAGAGTGTGTTTTGAGTCTTGGTCATTTCCACAGTCAGCCAGTGAAGTCAGTGTAGTAGTGGCTAGCAAGTTGCTATGCCAGACCTTGATGCAAGTTGGGGGCAGTGGATAAAAGTGTTCTGTAACTCATAATGCTCAAAACATTGCAGTGGAAGACCCTCAATACCTCAAGAAGATTTACTAAGATGCAAAAAAATCAGTATGTGACATGACTGAAATCATTCACAAACATAGGTGGTGAAGCTTTCTTTTAGTTGTGACTGAACCACATCTAGGCTGTGTGAATTACTTTAATTCTTGAAGGCTATAAAATGATTGTTTTACTTTATTCAGAGACTAATTTTTTTCAGGAAGTTACTATAATGTTGATTATTTGCTCTATGCCTATGTTCTTTAGTCTACAGAAGACTTGATGGCACAGTTGAATGTTGTAGTAACAGCAGCCTCACAGACATATGCTTTTCATATAGCAATAAATTGGATGGCCATCTGGTAAGTTTCTTAAGCTGCTAATTCTCTTTGGTAAATCTAAAATTATTTAAATTAAATTAATAATATTTGCCAACATTTATGCAGCATACTCAAGTGTTTAAGAATATCTACAGTTTGTAATAAAGGTATATATGTATGTTATTCATTTGCAGCTTAAAAAATACCCCAAAATATTACTGATTATTTTCCCCATGATCAATCAGGGAGTCTCTGGAAGACATGTCCCCCATTTTCAGTATTCTGGATGCAGAATACTGTTGAGAAATAAACAACTTTTGAGAAGAAGGTGTAATTGCTTGTTTTGGTGCTCCAGTCTTTAAAGGTATTGAACACTGTAGGCAAAGAAAAGCACTGTACTACCTGTTCAGCTGTTTTGTCTGAAGCCAGTAGTGCTGCTCACTAAGTTAAACTGAAAACATGCAGGAGAAGATTCTAGGCATTGTCCAGTTTCTCAAAATCAGAGTCTATTTGATTTCTTTTTCACCATGTCAGTTTTCTTGTTTTGGAAACATAAAGTTTCTCAGTAGGATTTTGACTTACTCCCTTCAAAACAGAGTATAGCAGCCTTTCAGTGCCTAATGGGGCCTGCAAGAAAGCTGGAGAGGGACTTTCTACAAGGGCCTGTAGTGATAGGACAAGGGGGAAATGGCTTTAAACTGACAGGGGGAAGGTTTAGTTTAGGTATTAGGATGAAATTATTTACTGTGAGGGTGGTTAGACACTGGAACAGGTTGCCCAAAGAAGCTGTGGATGTCCCATCCCTAGCAGTGTTCAAGGCCAGGTTGGATGGAGCTCTGAGCAACCTGACGTAGTGGAGGATTCCCTGCCTGTGGCAGGGCGGTTGGAATGAGATGATTGAAATATGTGTTCCATATTGACAGTGATGGAATATTTCTGTCAGTTCTCTCTGCACAAAATAGAGCACAAGTATCAACTGTGTAAACTTTTCTTCACATACCGTTTGTAATTGTTCTGACCTTTAGTGATTAATACCTGAAGAAAAGTGTTCCAAATGTGCTATGTTTACAGTTTCTACGATGGTAAACTTCCCACTCCAGAGTGTTTTTGTGGTATTTAACAGCTAATAATTGAGCACATTCCAGCCATTCATTTGAAATATGACAGTGGCTGGGAACATCCTGGAGTTCAGCAAGATTTGATAAATCACTATCCCACCGAACTTTGACATTCTTAAGCTCATAGCTTCTACTTATGAACAGAGAAGAAATTAAAGCATCCAAAGCCTGTGACCTTCAAATGTCCTTAGACTGGCTCTGAGTTTTTGAAAAATCATTTTACACAGCCTTTACAGTGCTATGCATTAGTATTTGAAAGTGTGTCCTCTCTCCCTCATTAGAATAGAAAGAGCTTGTATTAAGGTTAATGGAGAGTGTCTGACACTCATGCATTTATGGGGAGTGAAACAATCAGGCTAAGAAGGTAGAAATTACTTTTTTTTCCTCCTAAGGCAAACAGTAGATTAAGAACCTACCTTGCTTGTGTTTTAAGAACAAAAGGAAAAGTATCACTGAGCTTTTATGAGAGACATGAGGGGGAAAACCAATTTCTTTGCTTTAAAAAGGAATATTTAGTACCTTTTATCCTGATCTGTTGGAAAATACCTTTAACTTTTATAATAATTTTAAATGCCCTTTGCAGTATGCCTGTCTGCCAGCAAGAAAAGTTATTGAAGCCAGCAAAGTTTGTCGAACCAACATGGACTGTCAGAAGGACTTTGCTCCAAGCTTTTGTGTGACTCCTTCTTTGGAGAACCAAACAAGGCTAATCAGAGTAAAGCATCCACCCCATATGGACATGCTATATGTAGGCCACCCCATGCATCTTCAGTACACAGGTTGGTATTATATATTGAAATAATTTAGTAAAAATTAGCTCTATTATGGTTTCCTTTGCCTGGCTGCTTGAACAAGGTCTTGGAGCACTTGTCCGTTAACTTCTTTACAGCCAGTGGAAAGACATAGGCTACTTAGGCCTAAAATGAAATGTGCACAGTGCAATGATTATGAAGGTAATAGCAACCATATCTGATGAGATGGTTGTTTTTTCAGAAAAGTATGAAGGGACTGTTTGTAGAACAGATCTTGCTCAGGTTAGTCATAGGAACCAGGTACCTTCATCCATACCCGAGAGAGTGGTGTGAAGCTCTGTCAGGGGAGCCTTAGGTTAGATATTAGGAAACTTCAGATGGACTTTAAAAAGGCTGAACTGTTAAACTACTTTCCCTTCCTCTGAGGAACCTATACATACCTCACAGAGACCTGATTTTACTTCAGACATCTTGAAGTCTCTCCTTAGCAAGCTGTCAGGGACTGGAGGAAAAGTTGTCTGGGTCAAAACAACCAGTTGGGAGAACAGTGGGGGGAACCATGGGGAGAACAGGTTGAGCTCTGCTCTGTATTGTAAGACTAGAGTTTTATAATTATTTAAAATTGCCTTTCTTGGTCTCTAGCAATACAAATTGTAAGTAGTGTAGAACAATTGATATTGTTCTCTTTTCCAATATGTTGTAACAATGGAGTTTTAGTCAGTGTTTCCTACTGAACAGTAATTCTGCAAAGCAATTGTACCTGTCAGTCTTTCAGAAGTCAGAAATGAGCATTATTGCATCTAAAGAGGTACTTCTACCTTAAAAAGTTACTATGTGGAAATAGTATTTACAGTGTATAGAATATCATTCTAAAGTGATTTGCCCTACCCTGGGAATGGTGCATTGAATGTGTTTATTTGAAAGCTAAAAACTTGACTTTATTACAAACTTTGCTGCAAATGCAACTTGTGCTCTATGTTCCCCTTGGAAGTCCCCAGAGCTAAAATTACAGGATCCTGGCTTCAGCAGCAGGTAGTCTGCTGTACCTTCGTGGAGTTTCATGCATTCCAATCAAACAACTTCTAAATACTTCAGGCTTAAGCTTGCACTGTTCAGTGCTGGACATTTTCCCCAATCTGGGCCAGTCCTCTAGTTCTGTTGATTCCAAGTCTTCTAAAAAAAACAAATAGAAAAGCCACTTCCTGGCTTCGGGAATGTTTTTGGGCATCAACAGCCGTAATCCATGATGAAGGTCTTTCTGGTACAGCCTGGTTTCTCAGTATTTCATAGAATCATAGAATCATAGAATTTAAGGGTTGGAATGGACCTTACAGATCATCTAGTCCCAGCCCTCCCTGCCATGGACAGGGACACCTCCTCACTACATCAGGTTGCTCAAGGCTCATCCAGCCTGACCTTGAACACTGCCAGGGTTGGGGCAGCCACCACTTCTCTGTGCCAGTGTCTCACCACTCTTGGAATGAGCACCCTTCCATGCTTGTTTCCCCTTGTTGCTGCAGAGGGCCCTTCTTTGCTTTTAACCCATATTTAAAGGGTACATGTACAGTTCTGGAGACCACACAGAAATATCTCATGCCGTGCTGTCTGTCTCCTCCATAGCATACATGTCCTTTTCCCCATGAAGAAGTTTTTAAGAGCTCTTTGGTCAACCTGGTCTCCAAGTCACTTCTAGTTAAAGTTGTGTCTGTTGTACATTCTTCTCAATATTTGCCAACACCATCTAACATTAGCCAACAAAAGAAATGTTATTTCCAGGTCAAAGAATTGTTTAATTAGACTGAGAAAACAATGACTGTTTTCTCTCACCCAAACTCCATTGCTGTTCACCTCTTCCCAGCACTGTCTTTTTGAAGACAAGCCTGAAGAATGTAATTTCTATAAGTCTTCTGTTATTCCTCAGAGGATAAATTTGCTTGCTGCCATTAAGTTTGATCCATTACAACCACTAAATTCATTGCCTCATATTACAATGTCTGGAGCTTACTACAGTGTCCAGCAACTTTCTGAAGAGTTTCTTTGTGTTTGGAGCTTGCTTCAGCAGCAAGGTTTGGAGTTTAGGTCCATGTCTAGTTTGTATTGGTGAAACCAATTTGTTGTAACAAAGAGGGAAGAAGATTAGTGATTCATTTGCAATGTAGGTACAACTTCAGGTTCAGGATGGTGACTTAGTGGCCATTGTGGTGTTTGTCAAGAGGTAGTCAAGCTCTAAAATTACGGCATATTGCAGTGTGTCTTTTGAAATCTTTGAATATACTGTCTGCCTCAGCCATTTTGCTGTTTTGGCTCAGGAACAAGAGGTCTGGTCAGACGTTCTGATAACAGCCCTCAGTGTGACGAGTTGTTTGCTTTGGATATCACTTGACCTGCATGTACATACAAACTGGGTAATGAGAGGCTGGAGAGCAGCCCTGTGGAAAGAGATGTGTGCGTCCTGGGTGATGGCAAGTTGACTTAGGAGTCAGCAATGTGCCCTGGCAGCCAGGAGGGCCAATCATGTCCTGGAGTACATCAGGCACAGCATCACCTGATGGTCAAAGGAGGAGATTGTCCCGCTCTACTCTGTGCTGGTGTGGCCTCGCCTTGAATACTGTGTGTAGTTTTGGGTGCCACAATATAAGAAAGATATTAAGCTATCAAAGAGCATCCAAAGGAGGCAACGAAGCTGGTGAAGGATCTAAAGGGGAAGCTATATGAGGAGGAGCTGAGGTCTCTTGGCTTGCTCAGGCTAGAGAAGACTGAGGGGAGACCTCATCACTGTATACAACTTCCTAACAAGGGGAAGTGGAGAGTCAGGCTCTGATCTCTTTTTCTCTGGTAAGCAGTGATAGGACTTGGGATTTGAACTCTTGCTTTCACACATCTCTGTGGAGGTGATATTTCTTAAGGCTATAACTTTTTCCCAGATAGGTAGGGAAAATTCAGGCCCTTGTGGCTGGCAACTCACGTCCAGAGTTGTTCTTTAGGGACAGAGAGCCTATTGTTGGTACTGTGCAAGCTCATCCTCAAGGTGATTTTCTAATTCTGCCTTAATTTACCTTAACATCTTCCTTCTGGGGATAAGACTCCACTGTGCATCTCTTCTGGTAGGAAAGGTGTCTTTCTTCTAGGTGTCACAGAACTAAGGTTTTCTTATGGTCCCTGATGCTGGCAGATGGATACTGATGTTTGGCTTTGAAAGACTGCAACAAGACTTTTTATGAGACAAACCAGATGGAGCATCCCTGTACTTACAAAGTGCACTCTGGCAGGTCTCGAGCTACCTCACTTTTCTATGAAGAATTTCTTAGAAACATTTGATGTGCAGTCAGCTGAAGCTTCATGCACACCTTCAAAGAACAATGTGTACAGTAGTAAAGTATTTCAAGATCATGTGGCGCTTGACCCTGCAATTTTCCAATCACTATTTATAGGAAGAGTGCTGAGTTGTACCTCCCAGGTTTTCAGTTCCACCAAGTTGCATCTTGGAGTCACTTACCATCTGAACACAGAAAAGAAGCTACTTATATACTGGCTGATTGGTGGTGTGTAATGCTGATGTGCATCAAATCATAGCCTTTGCTTTCTCAGAGGGACTATGAATTCTGCTCCCAATCTGTTCCACTCCTATACACCATGAGCTCAGCCTCAGGTCAGAGCAATCTTCTGCAGGTACTGTAAGAGAAGAATTTTCTGGCCCTGAGGGAGAATACATGTGTGCACCCACACTACGCATGTGCACAGCATATGTTGAAAAAGCCTGGTAACTATAATCTCTTTTCTTTGAAAAGGACTGAAATTACACAACAGGATCTTTACTGATGTCCAGTTGTCTCTGAAAATACATATTTTAGTTCTAGTTTTACTGAAATGATCATTGTATTTTGTGGTGTTGACTTTACTGTGATTTTGGCCATGTTTAATGGCTGCAGTCTTCTAAAAAAAAGAAAGCCCATATGTAGCTTAGTTGTTTGTCCTTGAAGAAGGTTGTTTCACATCTATTTTCCTGCAGAATTAAAATCTAAAATTCATAGTGTTATAACCCTGGAATGACTTTTCATGCTTTGTGTATCTTTGTATTTTCATTTCAGTAAGTCTCAGCAGTTTTGTACCACGACAAAACTTTCTAAGCATCGATCTGCCTGTGGTGATAGAGACATTTTGCAAGTATCCTTTGAAGTATGTTTGTTCTTTTCAGACAAGCAGGGAATTGTTTAGAATTTAGTGACCTATCAAAATTTTGGCTGGATATCATTTTAGACAGGATACCCTGAACTATTTCTGTAGTTTTAACATCTTTAGCCCATCTTTGCATTGATTATTGGCCATGTGCCAAGCTCAAAATGAAATCTCTCACTTTTCTTGTGCATAACAGTATATTCTTGGTCAGTGCTTTGTTTAACTCTTGAGGGTAAGCCTTAAGAGATGTGATGAGAAAGTCAAAGTAAACCTGAATTCACGGCAGGGCAAATGAGATGTTCTTGGTAGCTTTGGTATGTCAGAGTTTTATCATTTTTGCTTCATTCTAGTGAGCTAAATAACAGGGTACGGTTATTCTTTTAATTTTTTTTTCTAAAACAGAAAAGAGCCTATTCAAAAAGGATAATTCAGTTAAAGCACACTTATTCTTAAATGAGAAGACATATATATATATATGCATACATAAAGGTTAGTAGACTTGAATATGGCTAGAACCCTTAGCCTTAGCAACTGAAATGAAGAACAATTAAATGGTGTAGTTAAGTGTAATCTAGAGAACTAAAGATACCACAGAAGCTCCTCTTTTCTGGGAACATACGAAGGTTCATGCTGCCCCAGGTGCTTTCTGAGTCATATGTCTTCTTGTCAGGCCATTTAGGACAGAGCTAAGTGTTGCAGTTAGCAAGTCTTGGCCAACAATAAAAGTTATCTCCCTGTGCCTCATTCTCACGTGCACACACAGGTACAGAAATCCTCTCAACGTTTCTGGCTAACAGGTAAGTGGGAGAAAGAGACCACATTTCCAATTACATTCTAATCATTTACTTAATCCAGCAAGGGAGTGTTTTGGAAAAAATTCCTAATCATGATTTCATACTTGGGTCATAGGTCTAGAATACCGTCTTACTTTAGGTGTGGTGTCAGAGCTATAACCTTCCTGCAAAACCACAGAAAGCAAGGGAGGAAGATGGGCAGTATCAAGTGTGGTTTTGCTGTCTCCTGCTTTCATTCAAGTTGTGAAGAGTGCAGGTTGTGTGAGTATCCATACCTAGCACTTAAAAAAAATAAAAATCTTTGAAGGAAATTCCCTGAGCAGGTGGAAATTTTCTGAGCAATGGTGGAAAACTCATTGTACTCATGTAATTTCTGTGAAACAGAATAGCAGCTAAAAAAAAAAACCCTCATATGTTTCTCTTTGCATACTATAAATAAAATACATGTTTTATATTTTATTTTATTTTTAGATTTTCTTGGATGTTATTCATGAGCCTTAACTAATGTCAACCAGGTACCTAATCTCACTATCAGGAGCACTGGCAGTTATTAATGCTGTACCCTGTTTCGCTTTGGATGGTCAGTGGATATTAAATTCATTCCTGGAAGCCACGCTGAGCTCCCTGATTGTAGAAAAACAAAACAGAGAGTTTGTTGGCTTTTTAATTTTGCTTGCTGGTAGTGCACTCTTGGCTGCCAATGTTGCACTGGGACTTTGGATGGTGACAGCACGGTAGAACATTGGATACGCTTCCATCTGTTCTCAAAGTACACAGAAGTAATTAATCCATTGCCTTTTAAAACTTGTCCAGTCCTGAGATTGAAAGAATTCCCTTAAAATGACAGTGAAAGAACAATCACTGGTGGCTGCAGTTTTCATTTAAAACTGTACAACATCATGCCTGCAGTCATGGGAAATCCAATAAAAGATGTGGGAACCTTTTTATTTACTCTTTAAGCACTGTATTCTGGAGAAATTTCATTGCAAAGTTTCACAGGAAAAATTCAGACTTCATTAATTTAGATTTCATTTGGCCTCAAACATTTGTATAGTGGGAGAAAAAACACTTCAGTTTTATTTTATAATTTGAGTAATTGTCAGAAAATCTGTGTGGGTTCTGGTCATTTCTCAGCAGAGTCTTGAGTGTCTTGATTTGTTTTTTTCAATCTGGTATTCTACCAAACTGGATTTTAAGAAGGCCTAAAGTCTGATCTCAAAATGGTGAAAAGCTAAGCAAATGTTTACCATGTGTTAATGGGGAGAGAGTGGCCATATGGGTTAGTATATTTCTTTTTCAGCTGGCCAAAATGACTGGAGGAATGTTGTCCTCAGGATGTAGCTGAGAAGTGCCAATGTCTGCTAAAAATGAAGTTTGTGGGAGGCTAACAAAGCCCACATCTGTGTTTCTTATACATTCAGTTGTATATTATCATACACAACTGAAGTTTTTTTAAAGGCAATATTTGTCAGCAATAGCTACAAGATGACTGAAATTTAGTTTCTGAGTGCTGAAGTATGCTGTGCACAATGTTTCCTAAGTGATACGTAATGTTTGTGTTGTTTTACTCAGAAAATAATACTGTATCCTACCTGTTCACAGTTAAAAGTGAAACCTGTTGTTTATATGGTGTCTATCTTCTGATGCTATGCATGTAATATGTACAGTAACTCACTGATGGTTTTCTGTATTTCAAAGGGTTGTTTTCCTTTGCTAGGATTCATTCTTTTCATAGATAGTAACAAAGATGTTTAGCTGAAGCTGATCTTGGTTCAGAACTATTTAGAGGAAGCCTATGATTGTGAATTGAACTATTTAAACATTTGGCTTTGCTTTTGGGAATGAATACAGACCATGTCCTCCTTCCTAAATGAACAGTGGAAGAAGAGTCAGTGTTTTGCTGACTGAAGTATGTCTGCAATACTTCGAAGCTCTTTAAGTCTGTAATATTTTCTGTTGAATGGGATTATATATTGACTGTCATGTCCTCCTGTCATATATTGCCCAGGTTCAGTCAGAGCCTTCCCTCAGTATAGGCTGATATTTAAACCAAAGTGCTCTAGTTTGGGAGCCTAAATATTTGAAATACGAAATTTTTGAAAAATACCCTGCAACTTTTGCCTCCATACACTGCTCCCCACAGGAGCTGCTGCAGCTCAGAGTTCCTTTACAGAAATGGCCTTTCCATCAGGAGCTGAAGTGGAACCTAAGCTAATGGATACTGGCCCACAGGGAGTATGGAAATATTCATGATGAGGTAACGGATTTTTTTGACACTAGAGGTAAAAGCCTGGGTAATTTTAAAAGTGGGGCTGAGCCCAATTCCTGGTGCTACTGCATGGATTCATGACTATAATGTTTGCATCTGCCCAGTGATGTGTACTTTTGCACAGCAGCTTTCACACTTCATTAAGATGTACTCCTTTTGTAAGATGATGCAAGCAGTAATGAGGGACCATGTTTGTTTATTTGTTGTTGGCTCGTTTACTTGCCTCTCCAGTGCTGTCACAGGCTGGGTGGGCCTCTTGAAGTTCACCTCTGTGGGGTGGCAGGCCTCTGCATCTCATTTCAAATCATTTAAACCCAGGCATATTGACATAGATCCTAGTAAGAGAGAGTAAATCCTCCAATCAATCCAGTGCAAGTCGGTCCCCAAAAGGACACCAAGTTAAGTCACACAAAGTTTGATAAATTATATATTCATGTTGACTACAATGGCTCGGGGCAATCTTTTAGCATACTGCCTCTTGTGGAGATGTAGACAAAACCCCAAAGTTTCTGAAATACAAATTACATCTGCTATAATGAGCCCAGCAGGTAGTTCCTGGTTATTTAATGTGCTACCAAAACATTAAGTTTTATCAAAGGAAGCTAAGTCCAGTTTATTTTACACAGTCACTGAAAGCCACAGTTATACTAAGTAGAATTTCAGTCTGTGTCTGACCTCATAATCAAGAAGGTGGAGAAGGTGGTTAGCAAAACAGTGCACACTAGTGCACTGTACAGACTCTACATGTCTTATATGGAAGAGAGAGTACTAGAAGTGTTTAAAATTCATGAGTCCATTTCTCCACATGCTGGAATTCTACTGAATAAGGGTTAATTGATGTATGTACAGGCACTTTGAATCAAGATTTAAAGCAAACTGGGTATGAATGGTGATCCAGCACATCTTAGCTTACCTGTGGACAAAGGTACTAGTTATATTGGACCACTCTCTGAAGTTGTCCAGTGGATCCATTTCATTCTCCTTTAGTCCTAATGTATGGATTACATTCCAATAAGCATATAGAAAACATACAGTTATTGGGAGGGTTTTTGTTGTTTATTTAGCAAGAAAAAACACAAAAGGACACAGTGATTTTTGCATGTTGGATTTTTACTCTGAGTATTTGTGATGTTTCTTCTGGTTTTGTAAAAATAGAAAGGAAGGCTTTCCTTAAAATCAAATCTTTCTACGTCTTATTCTAATTAGCCCCTCAGAATCTTTGCTACAGAATCCATCAATATAATTATAGAGCATATTGACTGGACTATAAAACAGAGCACTCTTAAAGATCAGATGGCTGCTGCTATTTATGTATATACTATGCATTTTAAATCTGTATCAGATGGAAAAAGTAATGTCTAATATTCAGAAATGTTATATGTAGCTTTAACTTGAAAATTGCCAGAAGAATTCCATACTTGTAATCACTCATTGTTCTGCTTTGTTTTTTATAAAAAAATTTTTATATCAGCAAAGATTTACATAGCATGTTCTGATAATGCACAATATAACATGAAAATGGATAACTTCTTAGCATGAGGGATGTCACAGGCTCTTTGCTAACTTAGGAAATTAAACCCAGCTCACTTCCATACAAGTTAAATGGAAGAAGCTTCACAAGAAAAAGTATAGACAAACTTGCAGATTAGTCAGCCCAAATTCTGAGCTACAGTGAAAAATTTGTAAACTCATCCTTTTTATTTGGAATGAAACAACTAACTATACTGACAGTCACCTTTCTCAGTGATGATGATTCTGCATTTGTGGCTCTGTGTGTGTATATACCACATTTGTGTAACAGATCCATGCGGAGTTGCAGGACCTATTAGTGCTTTTTTAGCACTGCACCATATTCTGCAGTGGAGGCTTTTCTTTTTCCTTTTCCTTCTATGAATTCTCTTTGTAGCCTTCTCTGGATTTTAAAATAGAAACTATGTTTTTCTCACATAACTGATCTAACTTTTGTATTGACAGAAGACAAGTGATGGAGGCATAATGTAACCACAGCTGCATGAGTTTTGTTCAAACTGTTTGAAATATGTTTCTTACTTTCTGTGAAGCCTCAGCTACAAGTATGGTAAACACAAATTTTCAGGGCAACTAAAAGAGGTCAGCCTTGGAATCCATCACTCTCTTAATGCTGCTGTTTGTGCTGTTCTCAATGATAACTGGGATAAGCAAGTGTAGAGTGTGGAGAGTATACTGAAGAAGTAAAAGTTTTCAGGACAGACCTCTCCATGGCAGTCAGAGTGTTTAAGCTTTCTTGAAATAAGGATATATTTTTGTTCAGTTTAGCACATCAACAGTCCCAGTTTTCCCAATGGTTTCTGTATACATTTTACATGATGACAAAGGGTGACCTGTAGGAAATATATTTTTAAACAAGTTATGTATGTCTTCGTCTGAAAGATCTGAATTTGTATCTGAGTAACATTTATGACAGATGAAAAAGGGTTATAAAAGTTTATATTGCCTTGTCTGTATTTAATTGGTTTAAAAAGATGTGAGTCAAACTCTGCATATAAATAGCTATTTGTAAAATATGCATTCTGTACACCTGCATTCAGACCAGTTTCCACAGCCAGTCTTGCCTCAGCTTTGTTCTTGTGAGTAAGGAAGCTGAATCATAACACCAGTGGGATCCAATATTGGCAGCTATTGTATACCCTCTTTCTTTATCCTGAATTTCTTGTAATGCTTTATATAAATTAGTTATTTAATGTATCTGAGTTACCTGGGGTACATGTCCTGTATTAATGCAGCATTTGAGAAGCATTGTACTAGGCATTGCCAGAAAACTGCAGCTCTGTGACTCCTGTTCCTTGGACTCAGCACTACCATCATGTGAAGAGCAGATGGCAGCGATTAAGGGCAGTGAACAACTTTCAGTTTATGGCAGCTTTATGAAACCTTCACACTGCTGACCCAGTGTGAAAGGACAGGAACAAAGAGCAGGATATGACACTGCAATTCCATTCATTCTATTTACATTGTCATGAAACCTGAAAAGAACTTGTAGTTAACATTTCACAGCATGAAGAAGAGATGTTTTCCAGCTCTTCACTGAATCATTCAGTAACTGGTGATCAGACTCTTTTTTTTTAATACTTTGTAATTCCATTGATAATATGTGCTGAACCAATAGTTGTAGCTCATTTTGTAAAATGGGCTTGGATATTTCTCATCTATAGATGTTCATCTTGGGATGGTTTTTGCAGCATCATAACATAATTGACCTTCATTGATACTAGTTTGAAAGTTTGGAGGCTATTTCCAAGCCATCACTAGAAAAATCTATTTCCTTCCTTCTCGAGTTGTTTGCTAGTATTTTAGATTCTTCTTTTCCTTATATAATTTGTTTTTATATTTCATATACTCAGATGTTCTTATCTGAAGCCTGTCAATGGAATATGTATTGTTTTGAAATTCACTGTGGGGTTTTTTCCCTCTACATAGCCTTATTTTTCAC